AGTAAGCTACCGGATAAATCCGTTATCAGGCATGCTGATACTGTCTTATAACTTATTTATTTGGTCAAGGCTTTTAAAGTCAGCCTAAGAAATAGAATTCCTTCGGAATTCAATTTCTTGGGCTGACCTTAAATCCTCGACCAAATAAACCCATTATCAGACAGTGCCTGCCTGATAACTTATTATTATGCATATAGTGTATAAATAAAATTTTAATCAGACAAATTCTGAAAAACAGAATAATAATCCTGGCAAAAAACCTGACAATTAAAAATTCTAACAACTTAAAAAAAATCTTCAAAGTGTTAATATTAATATTTAAATTTCCTCTCTAAACACCAATTATTAATGTATTGGATTTAGGCTTCTGTATTACCAGTAGTACATTTGTTAAGATCATTTAAAAATCTAAAAAATTATAAAATTATTTTTATATACAAAAATACTCTAACTAATAATTGTTGTGGATTATGATGTAATTTGGATGATGGTGAGATTAAGAACTCTGATCATCATAATTCGTGACAATAATTAATTATTGTTACAGGTGAAGCTAGAAACGGCTGATGCTGGAAATTTTAATACTTTATCATATTAGTGTCATAATTTTATGATATATAGATAAATATCTCTCTTCCTTTCTCTTATTTACCATTGTTTTCCTTTTTACGACTTTATAAATATCTTCTCCTGATTCCTTTAGTTAACTATCGCTGACCCAAACTTGGCATTAAATAAACTGACGTTCTTCGATAGTAACACCACATTAAAAATCAATACATCCGGCTATGGCTTCTAAGTTCTGATTAGAAAAAGTTTACCAGAAAAAAAGCAGATTCCATCACCGGAAATTTTGTGCAAAGCTGCTCAGCTCAGAATTGAAAGAATTCGGTATTAGATTTTATATAACATGGTTAAACATACTTTATCTGAATTTTCGATCATCCGAATTTTTCCAATTTAATAATGTGCAACATAAATAATCCAGAGACTTCGAATTATCCTGTATCGATATCGATATTGGTTTTATCAAATTTTTGTTTACACGGATCAGTCCGGCGAAGCAAAAAAAGTAAAAAAAAATGGGAAAAATACAAGAAACGAATGTCTAAACCCACCTTTGATGCATTAAGTAAAAATGTCGGGAGGACAATTTTACAGCACTTTTCTAATTTTAACCTTTATATGATCTAATCTAACTCTAATGTTAATAATAATAATTCCATGATGTACGTATTAGTAAGTGCATTAACTGTTAATACATTATTGATCGACAAAACGACACTTAACTTAATTCACCTGTCATTGATTTCCCAATTAGCGAATTTTAAAGTACCATCACTCAAGGTGTATTGTTATTGATTCACTTTTTATCGAATTTTATTTAATGTGTCAAAAATGACACTCTATTCATATTAATTAGAATTCTCGGTTACACAACATTCTGACCAATAGCGATAGACAATTTTGAAGGATGTCTAAAGCGGGGACAACTCGTATTTCTTAATAATTTTCTCGATTAACTTTAGGGTTGGGGTCATCTTATATTAGGGTTAGGTTAGGTTTTAGGTAGCTATATATAAGCAAAATTGTCTTCCTGACATTTTTACTTAACCTACCTGAGGGAGATTTTGTATTTTTTAGGTTTTTCATTTTTGTTTCTTGTTTTGCTTCGCCAGCAATGCAAAACTTACAAAATTGATACACCTGCCAGGGACCCGGAAAATTATCGATTTGTTTTGCCAAAAATATTTGTCAAAATTATCGATTTATACCGATATGGCCAAATCGTCTAATCAGAATGCAGGATTTGGAGTAACGTGATCTGAACTCTAAAACACGGAGTTAGGGTTAGAGTTACTTTTTTGATGCATTTGGGTTTTTTTATATATATGTGCCCAATCCCTAGTTGGCCAAATTTATTCCTCCCGGCCAAAATTACACTCTTAGCTTTGCTCAAATTTAGTATGTTACATTGCAAAATTATTAATTTCACTAAGATTTGGCCTAAAATTATCGATTTATATTGATCTATATAGATCGATAATTTTCCGTGTCCCTGACACCTGCACTTACTTTGTTGATATTGAAACGAGGGATTTATACGGCGAGTCAATCGCTTGACTATGGGAATCTCCTTATAACCTACGAATGGCTTATCGAAAGAGGGCGTTTAGATTTGGTCGATGGGTTTGGGCTCGTAGGTAAGTAGTTGTCTTTATTGATAATGTTAATCTTCTATTTTTAACTAGGCGGACCTTATAACCTTAAGGAATATGGACACCACAGTTCGTCGGGTATTCCAATATGCGAAACCACAGTTACCACAGTTCGTCGGGTAACTGGAACCAAATAAAAATAACCACAACCAACCTCAGTACGTCGGGTTAGTTGGACAGAAAGACCACGGTTAATCTTAGTACGTCAAGATTAACCGGACAATTTTCAGGGTAGGTATCACGTGGACAAGACAACAGTAAACGTACTGTGTGTCAATTTAACGAAAGCGGGATAATGAGGGGGGGTTAGTTTAGCGAAAGTATTATGTATTCGGGGTTTTATGTATTAGGAATCAATAATATTTTTAATAAAGGTTTCAATTTGTTAATAAGCGAAACTACAAAGAGTTATTCTTTATTACGAGCGATTACGCTCTCAATATATACAATTTACAGCACTATGTTTTACATAACTCTTTTACAATTTATAATACTTAAACTTATTTTAATATCTTAATGTCCTAAACGTACTAGAATTAATAAAATTCACTAATTCCCTAAATCTTCTTTCCCTCCTTAATCCCTTTTTCCTATTAAAACTTTCATTACATAAAAGAGTTTTAGCTCTTTTATCCCCGGGCAACCTATTAATGGTTAGAGATCTGCATATCCGTATGCAGATACTACAGCACATTAGCCTCCGACCCTCACGTGTCTCCGGAGTAACTTTCATGTCTCACAATATACGCAGATGGTTATATAAAATTTATACATGATAATTTGTCTCCGACTCCCAATTTTGGTAATTGTTCATATGTTGTTTTAAAGTGCGTATATCTTCTAAGCTAATTATTTAAACTTTTATTTATTTCTTTTTATTTCTGAGCTGACTGGATGCTGTCCAGGCTTGTAGTTTATTTCTGGCGACTGGACGCTGTCTGGCTAGAATAAACATTTAAATTTCCTTTATTTTTCTTCAATCCTCACAGCATTAAGCCTAAGGGTTATAAGCTTAGTTGAGGAAGTGAAAACTTATGGGTAATCTTAGAGTTACGCTACAATATGTCTTGTACCGATTACTATTACTTATAAGTGGAAGCCAATTAGTTTTGATTTTTTTTTTTCCTCTTTTTGTCTTTTGATATTCGTACTTAGTCTATTTGATTAATATTTTTTCTTTGAATATTAGACATCACAATCAAGAAAGTATCGAACAAAGTCAGTTAAGTTGCTTATAAATCAAAAAACTCAAGAAAAGTTGGACCTTGAGGAGTTGACAACGGAGATGGAATTAGAAGAAACCGAAACTTAAATTTTTAAGTGGATACAATTTCTAATAGAAACTTTTGATTTAATTATGATATTTATCAGTTATACTTTATTATCTTTTTTTTTTTTTAAAGAGAAATAAAAACAAAACATATAATACATAGCATATAGTACGTTCAGACATCAAAATGAAACAAATAATCTCAATAAAATTTTATTTACCGGTATTATAATTATAGTAATCTATAGGTTCTATGATATATAAATTGTTTTCATGTCACTAACATTACATTACAAAAATATTACCTTGTAAACCATCTAATACAAAATAAACTCTATTTTGACAAATTAATAATAAAAAAAAAAAAAACATTATATCCATCCGCTTATAATATTTGCAATACTTAAAATAGTACTTAATACCATCACCAAAATACCAAATATCACACATAATATTGCAGGTAATTTATTTAAAGTTAATAATTTACCTGAAGATAATTTTAAATAACATGCTGGAGGTAGAATATAAGCCAATGCTGTTGCAGAAAACCCACCAGTAAGTTCAAGTACTGTACCAAGTGAACTTGTCATTAAAGAAATTATCATAGCACTTCCGACAAGAAGTGTGGTTATAACTACATGTCGTAACATATTAAATTGTTGATTGGAAAAATAATAGTTATTGATAACCTAAAAAAAAAATAAATAAATAAGCATAGATCAATATTATAAATAAAATAGTTTAATATATTAAATATATTATGTAAATTAATATATACCTCTCTACACACGAATGATTCTAACGGCAATGTAGTAAACATATTGAACCCAAAACAAAATCGTGCTATATTTATAAGAACATCATCTCCCGGGAAATTATTCAAAATGTTGCCTATTATTGTCAAAAAAAACAAAAATAAATTAAATGAAATAATTATAGTAAAATGAACACTTGTGTTTTTTAAATACCTTGAGTTTTATCTGTAAATACCAAATAACCAATTAATGCCATCAACATACATGCTATCATGGATACAAAAGTAGATAAATGCGTAACTACTGCGAATCGATTCATAGTAGGCTTATACAATGCATCAAAAATGAGCAAACTATTGTGATGACAAACAAATGCTAAACATATAATAATACAGTAATAATAATAATAATAATAATAATAATAAAATGTTAAAAAAAAAATAAAGTTATTATCCAAGATTAGTTAAAATATATATATATATTACCAAAACTGATAACTCCAATCGCCTGATAAGAATATTTTTTAAAGATCATTATAAAAAAAAAAAAAATGAACAAAAAAACTATTACCATACTATAACTATAAAATACCTGAAAAACATCTGGATGTATAAAATCCCATTTTGCAACATCTGAGCCTCTGAGAGATGGAGTTACTTGAGGACCCTCTACAGCAACACTAACCACAATAATAACCATAGAAATCAAGGCCAAACCACTTGCTTTTGCCAATTTTGAAATATCTCGATAAAGAGCCAACGGATAGGATACGAAAACGGTACAAATTATAATAATAAAATTTCTTGTTCCAAACAGATAAAGAACTGGTATATCAACTATACCGGGAAAGATAGATTTTATGACCTCAGGAATCGTATCACCTGTAAATCTTTTGCCGATTAATTTTTTTTTTGAATCAAATTAAAAAAAAAAACCATTTGTCTAACATTGTTTTATTTTTACCTATAATTACACAAAAAGCGCACATCCCTGGGTAACGAAAGTTCACACTGATCATAAGTATTATGTGATAAATCAGAAAATTGGTAATATTTATGAATATTTAATATAAAATCAAGAAACATTACCTCCAAAAGCGAATACAAATTGGAATAATGATATGGCTATCATTCCACTTTTTCCGAAACAAAAGTACATTATATCTTGATAAGAACTTCTTCCAGATAATTTTGAGTTAAGTACTAAAAGTCTAATTGTCCAATCTACAACAAAAGTAAGACCAACTAATAATATCATTCCTGTAAATATTCCAGCTTCACGGAAAGAATACGGAAGACCTAAAATATATTTAAAACAAAAGTAAATTAAAATATAACCTTTACTTTACCATCGACTCAAACGTCATGACACTTACCGATTATACCTGTTTTCAAGATAAATGGATTTAATAACAACGATAAATGATTTTATAAGTAAATAACATATGTAAGTTATGTAAGATTGTTTGTTTTTTACAAACATAAACTTTACCAGCTCCAATAATACTATTTGCCATATTCAAAAAGCTAGAGAACACCGATCCACCACTGCGTGGAATTCTCATTCCCTCAGCACTTTCTATATATAAATTATCTGATTCATCATTTGTAACAACAATTTCTTCACTATGAGAGTTATCAGATAATAATGGATCCATTAGTTCGTCTTCAGTATAATTATCTACGTCTTTGGACGTTTGTGGTTCAAATGAAGTATATTTAAGTGAAATAAAGTCAGCATTTTTTCTAGAATTTTTAGCCATAGTTTTTAATCGAGTTTTAAGTAAACAATAACTAAAGAAAATCAAAAATGAAAGAATGAAAAGGTAGAATGAAAAAGTTAGTAATACCGAAGTTATTAAGGTTAATTTTGGATACGTATCGGTATTTATATTTAATATTTGATGATCGTCAATTTATTATTGGTGGCAGAGTAGTTTTAATGGCTAAATGCGTAGATCTATGCAGTATTCGTGTCCAAAAATATGGTTATAAGTTACGATTGTCTTACCGTTACTTTAAACTTTTTATCGTGGACTTTGGGAATAGTACAATAGTTTCCGATGAAAAAATAATGCACATAACGATCAATGAATCATTTTATAATCATTTTTTTTTTATTCTTGATTTAATATTTTGTATATTTACAAAATAAACTTTCAGCCCTGAGGCTCATTTGATAAATAAAAAAAAATGACTAGACTTATTAGTAGAAGAGATCGCTAAATCTATGTTCGATAAATTTTTTACTCTATCATATAAATATTATCTGTAACGATAAATGTTATACATCGTTTTGGAATTCATGTTAACATTAATTCTAAATTGACTTAAGTCATTTTGAATCATAATTTGACGTATGTTATATCATGATACTGACTTAAAAGAAAAAAATATTAACGTTAAATAATCTATGAGCTAGGAACTTTTTGTTTAGTTGCTTGTTTTTGAATCATTGTATAGTAATCGCGTCAAATTTATTCAGGATAAATTTAAAAATTTTAACTTGTTTGAGTAGAGATTGGAATTGATAAATTTCTTTTTTAAATAATAAAACCAAGTTTCTCTAAATATTATCATTATGTTTTAAGATGTAAGACCAGAATGTTATTTACACGTGCATGCAAATTTAACTTCAAAATTAGCTTCTTATTATTTGATTAAAAAAACTTTGAGAATAAATTTGAGTACCTTTATATTTGTAATTGTTAACTATTGTTCCAATTATTTAAAGTACAAAAAAAATTAATGAATATTTGAAGTATATATTAAAATTAAAAACCAAAGATCTTATATTTATATTTAGTTTAGCTAAACTTAACATATGTTAATATTCTAATCAGTAACTTATAAGTTTTAAAATGACGTATGTTAATTTAGAATCAAAAGCGAATCGCGAATTGACATAAATACAACAACACTAGATATGAATGAACGAAGTAGCCTTCCACGATCAAACGGTAATAAATTAACTTCTGTATTTACTGCTAGATAATAACAATAATGTTTAAATCATTCCGGCCTGGATGTCCAGATGCTAATCTTATCAGTTAATGATTTTGGTCAATATCCCATTCATCATAAATTCGAGCATAAATTCAAGCTCTTGATCACCTATTTAAAAATCACTATAGCATAACGATAAACTGGAATAATCCGAGTAAACCGGTTGAATTATGTATAAATGCCACATATGGCCGAAAATTTTTGATAAGAATTTGATGATTATTATGCGATAGAATAAAACATCGCAGCATATTAGTGGAATTGACCTACTTTTTAATTTGTAATTACGTAGTATCGTTAGTGAATAAAAGGTCCAATTTATAGGAATATTTAGATAAAGGTCAAATTCCGCTGAAATAACTAGACAAGTTCAATATATTTACAGTATAATTATAATTATAATAATATGATTTATTACTGATAAGCGTTTTTACTATCATAAGCATTTCTTAACTAAAAAAAAAAAAAAAAAAAAAACTAATCAAATACAATTGTACAATACAATTAATATCATTATTATTTTAGCGTTAATAATTTTTATCAAATCAAAAAATTTTGCTCATATCGATATGTATGTTCCAATTCTATCTCTAACAGGATTCTATCAAATCCGAATTGGATCCGTGTCAGATTATTTATAAAGCTAGCTTTGACCACATTTTCAGGTCCGTTATTTAAGTTAGATATCTGAATTTATCTATATTTAAGGATCAATCTAGGTAGTCGGATTTAGGATCGGAACATACCTCATACACAATATACAGTATTAGGATGTCAAAAATATTTAGGTTGTTGAAATATTTTTTGGATCTGAAATATTTTAGGTTATCAATATTTTAGGATGTTGAACATATATTAGAATGAGAAATATTTTAAATGTTTTTCAAGGTATCAAAGTTTTAAATACTAGGATTTTTCAGAATCAACAAGATTAGGATATTTAAATAGATTAGCTTTTTGCAGATATTATTCAGACTGAACTTTAAACCGGAACTGAAACTTTTAGTTCTTAGTCTTGTGTCTCATATTTCAACAAAAACTTTATCAATTTTCAAAAAATTTCAATAAAAAAATTTTGATTTCTATTGACGGCAGCTCATTTATTTAACGTTAAATACGAAATCATGTGACTACCAAATTTTTATCATTATCCGGCATCTTACGGCAGAGATAATAGTTTAAAATAGTTTAAAATAGTTTAAACTATCATCTCTGTCCAATAATTTTATTATTGGATAGCAAACCATAGTAAGCTACCGGATAAATCCGTTATCAGGCATGCTGATACTGTCTTATAACTTATTTATTTGGTCAAGGCTTTTAAGGTCAGCCTAAGAAATAGAATTCCTTCGGAATTCAAATCCTCGACCAAATAAACCCGTTATCAGACAGTGCCTGCCTGATAACTTATTATTATTCATGTGATCGACCAATCACGAGAAAGTTATCCTATATGGTATTACCTGGTTATATCTACCCGGGTAACCCGGGTAACCCGGGTAGTACCCGACCCGGATACAAAACTAGTTTAAAAACAAAAGAAACATTTTTAAAATAACTTAAAATTAGTGAAAGTTCATTATAATTAAAACGATTATATGCTTAGAATCGATTCAAAAATATGTAATCGTTTCTACGTAGAAACAATTATAACGATTTGAGAATCGATTCTAATTATTCTCATCCCTAGTTGGGGTATGAATAATTTGTATTTTAAATCCGTTTTTAAAGAGGTCATTCCTTAAAAAGGAAAAAAGGCGTAGTCGAGAATATACTATTCTATAGAATAGGTGGACAAACTCCGCTGAATATTAAAAAATTAATGATTAATAATCATTAGCGAAGCTTATTTCTTATATTGCCCACAGAACATCCAAAATGGATGTGGGTATTCTAGTGAAATTGACAATGTTGGATAAGGAGATTAAAAATAAGACATTCGTTTATTATCAAAAGCTGCTAAAATAGATAATGCTCGTGGGAATGTATAATTTTATTTATTTTTATTATTATAATTGGATTGGTGTTAAGAAAAAATGAATATGAGGCATTCATTAATTAATGTATATATTCTTTAATTGAGTAGTAATTTATTGGCCTATATAGGAGAGCATCACAAAATACGTAAATAAATAGATTCCAGGCAGGATTCTAGATTATGAAAATTTTACACAAAGTTCTTGTAGCTTCACTATGGGTCCTTCGCTAATAATACATTTTATAATCGTTCATCCCTATTTGTTTTCCTCAGATTCGTTTATTTCAGATTCTGACTCATATATTTCCGATTCATCTATTTCCAATTTGTACAATTTACTGTCTATGAAAAAAGATTATAATATTAATATTTATACAAAACAGAATAATTAAAAAGATAAATTTATAATTACCTTGATAATTACTATATGAAATAAGTTTGCTTTTATAACTTGTTTTAATATCTTTCTGTATATATTCATTTCCAATGCTTTGAATACTTTGTATTTTATTATCAGATTCAGATAATTCCAGTAAAATATTATCGTCACTTTGCCATTCAATAAAGATATCGTAGATTTCTTCAGCTGATGGCCGGTTTTCTGGCTTTTTATCCCAACATCTTTTCATCAGATCTACATAACATGGAGCAGTACCTTCAAGAATTTGTGGTCGCAGACCATCACATATCTGCAAACGAAATTGAGATTTGAAATGTAAATCAGAATTTTCATCAAAGGGAACCGATTTCCCATATAAAATTTCCCACATAATCATTCCAAAGGAATAAATATCAGATGCTTTAGTATATGGATATCTATTTAAAACTTCTGGTGCAATATATGGTAAAACTCCATAAACTCCATCAAATTCGGATTTGGATTTTAAATTAGCTGATATTGTAAGTCCTAAATCTGCAATGTATGCAGATTGTAATTCACTTTGTAATATATTTCCACTATGTAAATCTCGGTGAATAAGATCTTGAGAATGAATTATATTGAGATCAGAAGCAATACAAAGTAAAAGATTTAATTTTTTTTTCCATTCCATTTGTACTATTTCGTGAAGATTCTCACGTAAGGAACCCATATCAGCATAATCCATAACAAGAATGTAGTTTTTAGAATTGTTGTCTTTCGAAAGTCCAATACATTTCAGAAATGTTGGATTTTTAAGACCAATATCACAGTATGCCTTCAGCTTATTATATAAAAAAAAAATTACTAATTGAAAGATTAAAGATAAAATTAATAATAATTAACATGAATACTTAATATTACCTCTTTTACAAATTCTTCATGACAGCTGCTTGATTCATGAAGTAATTTAAGTGCGACATCCATCCATAAATTTTGACTTTGGTCAAGCCATGTAGCTTTGTATACAGTTGCAAAACCACCTTTTCCTATCTTTTCAATATCTTCAAATTCATTGTAAGGAATCCATAACAACTGGTATTTATTTTCAATCAACATTTTTTTCAAATCATCATCAATATCAGAATTTTTAAACATCTCTTCATCTGTGACTAATAAATAAAATATAAATTTAAGTTGATTATATTTTAAAATAAACAACATGTATTTAATTAATTATAGCTTGAAATACGATATGTATGTTGATGTATAATTGTGCGCAGAATTATTATCATTTTAAAGATTATATTGCATCATTCCAATATAATATATATTTTTATTATAATATTTCTTAGGCTTCTACCAATAGTTGTATAGATACTATTTCACGGTTCCAACGTGAGAAAATCTCTAATCTATTG